GCTGAAGAACAACGAAAAGATCCCTACTGTCGCTTCTGAAAACAGACTTTGCTTGCGCATTTGACGTTTCGTGAATAAAAATTACTAAAGAGTGTTACCATTGATTTACGCATGACGACAGAGACGAGAGTGTTATTAGTGTAGGTATGAGTGAGATAATGTGAATCCTCTCTGTTGCACAATCACACACACACTATCACTACAAAGTCAAGAACTGTCCTGATACTGTTGCCATTATTCATTTCACACGAAGTACGTTGAAGTTTCTCATCAACATAAAATTTATTATATTTTTCTTTTTATTTTGCAGAGGATGACATGTTTGACTATCGCTGTCATACTTTTTCTCTATCTCAACTTCTCTTGTTGAATATTCATTTTAAATGTAGAATTAATAAGCATTTATCTTTGATGAAATAGTTACGAGCAAAACTAATATCATCATTTAGATTCACATAATAAAAATATTTGTTCCTTGTTTTTATTGAGCGTTTAAGTGCTGCGCACCAATAATTCCATATTAATTATGTGGAGTTCAGTATAACATATAGCGTGTGCAAGTTTATATCTGTATTTCTTTTTTATTATCGTGTCACCTTATATACATTGTCTTTCTTGCAGACACCGATGGTTTTTTTAATGTCCCACAGGAAACGCAAAAAAAGAATTGAAGATCTCTACAAAGCTGGTCTTCTGCTACATTGAATTTTTCATTAGGTGTGCTTCTGATGCTCTACTAATTGCACTGAGCAATCCAAGAATGTTTCGACCTCATCTATAGCTCTCCTCAAAAAGTTTTAGTTTGGTATTCATATCAAATAGGAAAAACAGCGAGAATATTACTTGAGTTAGAGATATCTAGTATTTTTATTCCGTTTCACATTATTAACACCAAAAACTTTGGATTGTACACATTTGGATGTTAGCCAAAATTGACTCACTTCGCTCATAAAAAATGAGAAGCGAAACTAGGAACTGTTACGTGTTTATATTTTTGAAAATGTAATTAGCAGATGTATGAGTATAAATATGGTTGAAAAACCTTGTTATGGTATGGTTGTTGCCTTCGTCCTCAAATAATCACCCATATACATTCATAAGTACATTTATAGCGTATTCTTCAATCTTCCTTATTTTTAATTATTTATATCTTAAGATGAAATTCTAGTCCGAAATAGTTTTAGCTATGAATCTGCATCTATATATTTTGAACGATTGTTCCCACGTTAATGGATATGCCTGTCACTTGCGAAGGATAGAAACCCGATATCTCACTATTCAGTTCCTATTTAGATATATTCACTGACACTTTAAATTTTCGAATGTACTATGCTTCAATTTGCATAACATAAATCTCTTCATTATATTTAACATTGATTGTAACATCGTGATCAGCACAATTACTTGGAAGGGTAAACAAAAAAATTTTAATAATAAATATTTGTTTTTTATTAGATCGAGAAATTTTGATTGTAAATTTTTGATCAAACTCACTTTGATTGCTAACAGAAAGTTCATTATGAAAAACATGACCAGCTTTCATATAATGTGTTCTTTCATGTACTGTTATACATAGTGGTAACTGAACGAATCTCGATATTTCATATCGAGCACGACATACAGCTGATAGAATTGTTGTGTTATCATTGTCAAAATTTAATGGACATCGAGCTATAGTAAAATTTGGAAATTAGTCTTGTAATGATTCAGCTAGAGCGTGTACAAGATCGCTATATTTAGCATGATAATGTATTTGTACCTTTGCTAATGGGTATGAGTGTTGTTGTTGTTTCGATTTCTCCACACCGTTACCCACACCCACACTCACACCCCTACCCACAACCACCCTTGGAGTTCATGAGATAAGTTTAAAAAGCGTCTCACAACATGTAGATTAGTTCAATCACTCCAATCATCATAACTAGCTTTATTAGTATTATATAAATGATCTGTCATCATATCGCTTTCAAATTCTTTTTTCCAAGCATCTATTGTATTTTGGCAAGAATTGTTCATTTTACTTTCATCAACTGATGGCCATGGTGCATGATCAATAACATAACCAACCAGACGGATACAATCCGATGCATATTTCAATGGTTCTTGCATATGTGAATGCCAAATAATATCAATCTATTAAAAAAATAAAATTATTTGTTGTATTCAATATAGAATCATCTTACTGCATATGTTGGATGTACAAAAGCATATCCATTTGATGGTGGATATTTAGTTGCCATGTATAAAAATCTTTCATAAGATTTTTTTAATCGTTTTATGGCTGATGTACTGAGATCGATTTTGTTAAATTCTCTATAATAATCTCTGATAGGAACTTTGGATAACATTTCTTGCATAAATTTTTTACATAAATCAAGCCAATTTCCATCAAGAATAATATCAGCTTCAGTAAATGAAAATGGATTTTCGTGAGTATTAGCCGATGGTTTTGATTCAAATGTGAAATTTGTTTCATCCCAATATAAGTAAATTGGAATAATACATTTTAATGAACCAAAGACTGGATGAATATATTTAGGAACGACTTTCATATTATCTTCAGATTTTGGTTGTGGACAATATTTTTCTCCAAATCGTTCTTCATATAATTTACAAGTATCAATAAATGCTTGTTTTTTTAGAAATTGTTCCATTTCGTTCGCCAATAAAGAATGATCAATAATGCGATGAAATAATCTCAAACAATCTTCTCGATACATTTCTGGTCGTAGCAGATGTGTTTGCCAAATAATTTCAATATCCAATGTTGGAATAAGTAGAGTATTATTAGGGCAAGAAGCTTTTAGTTGCATAAAACGATAATATCTTGTTATCATTTGTTTGATGATTGATGATTGACGCCATTCAGCTTGAAATTGAGATGCTTTCTCCAATAATGATATGAGTTCACGAGCTGTTTTATCAACATCAACCGATAACTCGATAGACCTAGTCAAAGATAAAGGAAAAATATATTCAATGCTTTTCATGAATTTTGTTTTCATTCATTATACACTATCACTGATATAGAATAATCATCTGAGTAGGTTTACTTTGACTCTGTTAGGTAAGTATCTGAGAGAACTATGTCACAAATATTAGAATTTGAGTTATATTCTTTATCAACCGATAACTCTTTTATTTTACATCGTTTCGGATTCATTTGGATGTTGTTTGAAATCACCAATGGGTAGAAAGTAATGTTTGTCTGCTGGTCGAACAGGATATTGTGGTGGCCCACATCTTAGTCCACAAGCCCAACGCGATCTTTCTTTACGATGCATAGCTTCAACTTCTTCCAGTTCTATATATCTTAGATACTTTTCATACATCCAATCCATATACACTTGTTTGAAAGATTTTGAATGTAATTTTGTCGATGCTATAGCATAATTATTCTGAATTAAATGGAGAAAAAAAAATGAAATAAATAACCTTACATTTACATTTTAATTTCCAAATGTCATCTTGATCGGCAATCATTTTAAATGAGCGACAAACCGACGAAACATTACATAAATCATGTACCGACAAAAATTTAAATATATGCAACATTACTTCAATAGGCACTATTTTAAAGGAAGATTTGATCAATGCATTTTGTATCTCATTTAACGGCCATAAATGCTTCCACGTTACATTCGGTGGATTACGCTGCATTTTATCAGTTTTCATAGATCTATTTGTGGGCACCTTTTCTCTGAAAGATTTTACATCTTGTTCCATTATTTTATCTAAAAAAAATAGATCTGATGATCATCGTTTTAACAGCGGCAGATTTACGGATGGAGTGTTAGAAAGTGATCGCCCTCATTCCAAAAAGGAAAATTCTGCTTTTCTCCTAGTAGAGAAGACTTGAAAATGAGCTGATATTACTTCCAATAAACTTCAAAACATGTTTTATGATTATGATCGCTAGCCATCATCAAAATCCCAGATCGGTCACTACGTTAAAATATTGCTTTTCGAAATGTAAAAAAAACCAAGTATTATTCGTTCTAATAATTAAAAATATTTTATGATAATTTAACAGATAAATACAGTTCTAAAAACCAATCGACACTATACTATTGTGGTATTGCGCATGACGAAAAAATAAATTAGAACAGAAAGCAAACGCATGGTTAAGGTAAAATGTAGAATATTACGAACAAAAACAGAGGAATTCGGTCGGCTTCTCAATGAAGTTTGACTGTACACTTTTATTCAGCGATTTCATACATTACTCACACTTCCTGATAAAATGAAAAACAAATTATATTTTTTTCTCGTGCATCACAAATCATGTTAGGCTCCACGTTCTTCAGTAATTTTCATATATTTACTACCACATGTTCTCTTTCTCGTATTATTTTATCGACAATATGCTTTTAGATTCTTTTTTTTTACACAAACCCAGTTTTGAAGGCAAAGAAACAGAAAAAAAATGTTTCGTATTACTCATCATATTTCTCTCACGATGACTAAGCTACATGATATGATTGACGTTAATACAACATACCGAAGCTCATTAGTCATTCTTGTTTTTTTTTCACTATTAGCTCTCTTTGACAAGAAACCGATTCTGGCAATAAAATTTTCAATTATTTCGATTTAACTTTCCAGATGTCTATTTCTATCGGAATAAATCTTTGAATAATGAATCATAATAACAAGTGTAATACTTTGTTTTTTAAATCCACTTTGTCCATATGTTTTACACGCCACTATGCTCGTTATTTCGAATCGTAGGTATAATATTTGTTTAGAAAAAAATAAATGAGAAATATTGTAAATTCAACTTGCTATTAGACTGCTCTACAATCTGCATATTGACTTCATATGATTTTTTTCAAAGACAACCTAGAGGATGTGGGTGTGAATGTGAGAGACTGAAGCACACGGCACTCACATCCGCATTGAGCGCTTATAATTTGATCTGTGGTATTCGGCTTGAATTAGTCTTTTATGATTCAGTAAGACTTTGAGCTATTTAGCTTCTAGATATTCGTTAGATTTGCTCTTTAGTTCCTACATGATTGATCAATAATGACGGTCATTCAAGTTCTTCTTCTCTTTCTTTTGAAGAAGGACTCACCAATAGAATACATGTCTACATCGACACAGACAGTCACACCTTATATTGGGATGACTACGAATTTTAGAGAGGGATGATGGATGACGAGCCAATACAGTGTAATCGAAATGTTCTATCCTCTAAAGTAAAATGAGGAGACTTTTTTCTATTATACAAATCTCGTTTTGATTCTAAGGTTTCTCATGGTCTCTGAAAGAACTTATACTCCAAAATGGAGCGGATTGAGAAAGTTTACTGAAAACAATATATGAACGAAAAGTATATTATGAAACGCAATGTATCTTATTCAGCTCATACCGTTAACTGACACTGGTGCGAAGATCACACGAACGATGAGTTCATGATTTTCGATAATTGAAGAAAGTGCATTTTGATCAAATGTTAAATTTCTTGTAAACATCGCGCAAAACCGAAAAAGTTTTCATAGCACAAGGCAAGTTTTAGTCAGCTCAATGTCAGTTTCTCAAACAATCACATCAATAATCATGAAAATACATTAAGATGAGTAACAAAGACAGTCAGAATCAGAAGCATATTTATGAGAAGCAGCTTTTGTATTAGAAGTTCTAACAATCTCCAAATACACAGCGAAAACATGCTATAATCTATATAGCACCAAATAAAAGAAATTCAATAAAGGCTCAGCAATTGATAAAGTTTTATCGATACTTGTGATGCGCATGTAAAATAAAAAGAATGTATTTTGTGTAATCTTTTCTACTGACTTTCTGTGTCCGAGAATGAGTAATTGACTTAAGACTGTTCAAGTTTCTCTAAGATATGTGTCGCTTCACGTTGTCCACTTTCGAATGCACTGTCAACATAACCAACCGATCCATTGTAATTTGTATGTTCACCAGCCCAATGTACATGACCATCGTGAGACTCGCGTGCTAGATCTTTTACAGTTTCTAGGTCAGTTCCCACGGCAAAATATGAGTATGATCCACATGAATACGGATCACATGCCCATCTTGTTACTAACGACTTAATAGGATCGGTCATTAGAGGATAAATTAGACGGAGAGAAGTAACTAGTTTTTTCACTATTTGTTCATCACTGTATTGTTCTAATTCACGTGCATGACTAGCAGCAATATACAAAACTAAAATACGAGCTTCTGGGATACAGACATAACACTGATAATAATGATTCGTAATAACATCAATGTTTTGCAATTTCTCATCCCAAAATATGGATGTAAATTGAAGAAAAACTTTATTCAACAAACCAAAACCCATTTTGTCAATAGCTGTTAGCTTCCAATCTGGTATGGGTGGCATGAATACAATTGAACGTGCTTTTAAACAACCAAGTGGTATAGTAACGAGAACATATTTGCATAAGTAATGACGATCATTTGATGTTGAAATATGAACATGTCCATTCGATTCATTGGAAATATCAATCTGAGTGACAACAGTGTTAAACTCAATAGGAAGAGTATTTCCATCAACGATCTGCTTGATGAATGAACCCAATCCATCAGAAATTGTAAGAATGGGTGCATCGATGTTACCTTCTCCGATTCCATAAGACTTAGTCGAGATTTCAGTTAGATTTGCTCCTTCATGGTCTTCCATGGAAGCAAGGCACAAACCAACAAGACGTTGTATTTTTTCGCTTGCAATCTTTGCGTATTCGTCACGAATGACCTCGAATATGGAGACATCTTCTTTATCGGATGGATATTTTTTAATGATCGTACAATATTGTTCAAAGATTTTCTCGGCTTCATCCATCGAATCTAATGAAATAGATGTACCATCTTTATCAAAGGTGCCTGTTTTCAATCTATCATACGTATCATTATCAATGTGGTCTTTGTCCGATGGAGAATAATAAGTGTAAAAAGGATTGTCTGAATGATAATGATGTAACCAACGAGCCCCTACGTCGACAGGAGCTTTTACACCAAAAGTTTGTGTATCGGTAAACGCTCGACCACATGCACGATCACGAGCTTCGAGAATAATAAAACGAGTAGTTGATGGATATTTTTGTAATTGAAGTGCAGCTCCAATACCGGCTGCACCACATCCAATGATGATAAGATCGAAGAAATGATTGGCTGTCAACATTGTTTCTATATCACACTTTCTTGAGTAATGAAACGTCGTTGTTGTCGCAAGAAATGGAGAAGAAAAGAAAGAATCTTCAACTTATCAAGAGTTGTCAGTGTTTTTTATATCTTAGAGGATGATGAGAATAAAGATGTCGTCCTCTTCTAGTAGGCAGTAAAAATCCTAGCTTGTTTATTCTTTCTTATACGTGTGAGTATACAGGATAAACGCTTACATGAAACAGACAGAGATGATAATATGTCAGGGTCGATGTGAATCCATCTTCTTTTTATCATCACCGTCACCCAGACCATTAAGAATGAATTTTATGGAACGTTTTATATCTATGAATTCAGTCAATACCAACACTTCAATACTACGTTGGAATTGTAATGTGTCAACTCTATATTTCTCGCATTGAAGGATTGTTGACATGATTGATCTCACTGTCAGTAATAATTCTGGTTAACTCTTGTTTTGTTTTCTCGACATTCTGTTGCGTTGTCTAATATAGTATTTAAATGTGTCAATCACCTGACAGGACAAAAATAATCCATTGATACGAATAGTTGAAGCCAAAATCATATTAATTTGCAAAACATACATCCAGCTCACAGTAATTAATTACTAGACATTATACTCAACTTCGCTGGTCCATTCTCATAAGACAATATACAGTAGCGAATTTTGTTCACATGAAGATCTATCGTGTAATGAAAAACTTGAATGTAACACTATTCGATGACAAAAATGTCTATGAGTCTTTGTATTGTACGCAGACGGGTTCTTCTCTTTTCTGTTTATTGATACGGCAACACACAAAATTCGGGGGTGTAACGATTCGTAACGAGAAATTTACAGGGCTTTCGTAATACGAAAGCCCTGTCATCGTTTTTACTACAGGGCTTTCGTAACGAATTTTGACAGGGCTTTCGTAACAAATTCTGACAAGGCTTTCGTATCAAATTTTGACAGGGCTTTTGTATCAAACTTATACAGGTCTTTCGTATCGTTTTTGACAGGGCTTTCGTAATCAAGTTCTTATTGCATTCATAACTAAAATGAAAGACTGGCACTAAAAAGAACAGGGCATTCGTTACGAATACCCATGCTTACAAATATAGCTTAAGTCATTAAGTGGGATCCATTCGTAACAAGTTTTATATACTTAAATGGTCCAAATACATGGTACTATACTGTGAATGAATTATTTGTATACATTCATAGATGTCGTTGTTATTTCTAGTTCTCTATGTTTTTCCAGAATTGTGTACGCCTTTTTTTGTGAAAGTTGTTGACTTAAAATCGAGGAAATCAATTATGTGTATTCTTAATTCTATTATCTGCATATTGTTCTCGTTCACTCTTCTCTCTTTATGTATTGCCTGGTTTTTGTTACTTTTTGTTGTTACTAAGAAAGAGATTTACAAGAAGATAAAAATTTGTCTATACTTATATGCTGGTTCTCACTTTCTACTTTTGAACTATTTATGTTATAATTTTGGTAGATCACTAATTTCAATATGAAATCCTGTCAGCAACATCTGACTAAAGATCATACCAAATCCTTTTACGTTACGATAGCCCTGTAAGAACGGTACGAAGATCCTGTAAGACCGATACGAAGACCCTGTCAAAATTGTTACGAAGGCCCTGTAAACTTGATAGGAAAGCTCTTTCAAAAATTATACGAAAGCCCTGTCCAAAACGATACGAAAGCCCTGTCGAAAATCGATACGAAAGCCCCGCTTTTTATGATTTATGCATTTTACATTGTTACGAAAACCCTGCTTCTTACTGGGCTTTCGTAACCAACCGTTACGAATCGTTACCTTCCCCAAAATTCGTATCAAAACGGTTGAATAACGATTATATAAGAGGAACAAAAGAAAATAGTCTTTCCGCATCGCTTACATTTAAGGCTTTCTAGAAGAGAGAATAATAATCTTACAATCTATCCTACTATGCACAGTTTACTGTGTAGCTGTGTACTTAATTTCAGAGATACTCGTTTTTGGATCAAAAGCATGAGGAATGTCATTTACGATGAGTTGTCGAAAGGAGAAGCCGTGCTAAAATGACGAGTCCTGTCATAATACACAAATGTGTAGTTGAATCATGGAAAGCATCTTTTTCTGTTCACTTTTCGTAAGAAACACACTGATTATATGAAGCGAAATGTAGATTGAAAAGGCCAGTGGCGGACTAGCCCCAGACTTTTTGGTGTGACAATTACTGAAAAAATCGTTTTGTTAATCCATTTTTGTCCAGTTATCGGTTATTTCAAATATTTTTGGTGCGGCTATTGCCACACTCTGCCACGCTGGTGGCCCGCCACTGGAAAGGGCAAGACTTTTTATGTTAGAAAAAGCATGCAATATTTATCAAAACTATTATTTTACGTTCACTAAGTAACACCGAACTTACATCTGAATAAGATGATTTTCAACAAAAAGACACAAAGAATGACAATTTTCAAAGATTTTGCAAGAGAAAATCCCTATGAAAGCGACATGTGTTTTGATCCTACAATACCGAACATAAATACTATCAAAACAATTAATGTAGAATTACTTTTCACATGGAACACTGCACTCATATCCAGTAAAGATCATTTTCACGATCAAAGTTGCTAATGGTCATATGATGAGTCTTCTGAGTATGTCCGAAAACTTAATTAAATACCAGCTAAGGAAACATAGCAGATATTGAAGTTGCAGGAGTTATAGGAGGTATTGAAGATCAGGTTGGAGCTGACCGGGATAGGACTGCATTTTTATCAGTGTATCATCACAAAACTGTCGTTTGCATCCAAAAATTTTCTCTATTGGAAACGGCATTTTTATGATATTTCCGAGTCAGAAGAATGTTTTTGCGACAGACGCCATAGAAGAACCTAGACCAAATAATTCATTTTCTTGTTCTACCGAGACAGATGCCTGAATCACGAATAATAAAAACTGCATATTTTTGTGTTAGATTTATTATCAACTTGCTTTTCTCTTCGTTTGTGAACTTAAAATGAAAAAAAATAGATTTGACCGGAATACCTAATTTACATCGATATCGGACTCGAAAAATCGACGCACCTTGCTATAAAATATGATGGGGAGGGTTTCATTTCCAAGCTTTAGTTTTCAGTTCGAATTTCTACAGGTGAATATTCAAAATTTTGTTGTCACTACTTTATATGCTTGAATACTTTTATAGTAGGTCATTTTCGCCGGATTTTTGGCCGGACAAGACCGAAGAGAAAAAATCTGTTCGGCTTCAACTCTGATTCGAATACTTCAGTGGCATTCATACGTACAACGATAGCTACATCTATCGCAGTAATTATCATATTGATTCAAATTGTCAAATGACAATAACAATTTTGAATCACAGGGACAACGTAAGATTCAAGTTAGCTGATAAGTCTCTTGATTAGAATAGAATACGAGTAGGAATAGGTCTTGCCAGCTTGTTCTCTTTGCCAAGGTTTCCAGATATGATTGAGATCAGAATAATGATACTTTTACACCTACATTGATTGAACAAGGAGAGTTGAGAAGTCGAGTACCATAGACGAAGCAAATGGTAAATATAAAAACTATATACAGAAACATTATTGGATTTTGACAAATCACGAATTTCAGAAATCATTATATTCTTATTCGAAAACCTAAAAGTCAATAGTAGTCATAATCGTTTCAGAAAGAATATTTAGTTCACACAAAAGGTTTTTATTTCATGTTTATCTATTGATTTATGTTTATATTCATTTGTTGAAGTTAGCACCATCAGTCAGGATAGCATAACATATACAAACCAACCTGATCCAACAGTGTTGACTTTCAAATAAAATGCTATCAAATAATAATTCCCACTCACAGTTGAAAAGGACTGGATTAGATAATCGAAATTATTTTTATTGCCACATTTGTCTATGTAGCAGTATGCTCCTGATTCACAAGGACTTGTCGTTATTTGGCCGTAAGCATTTAAATCACAATTAGCACTTGTCGCACAATATTGGGTCCATCCTGTAAAATCACCCGTCTCAAATCCGCCATTGACAAGAATATTTGTGTTATTAGCTGTACTATTCACAGCTACGCTGTCCAGCAACCAATGATGATGGGCACCGTTAAGTTCGCCTGTAATAATAAATGTTAGAGTTGCTGAAGAAGCAGTAGCAGTGAATCCATGTGTGTAGAGTGCATAAGTAGTTGTGGCAGCGCCAGAACTAATGGTAAGAATTGCTCCTGTCGTATTTGGGCTTGTGCATGATGGTGCTATCCAAAGTAAAATAGAATTAGATCTTAATCGATATAGCGCACTACGATTGAAAACTTACTCGTTGTTGCTGTCGTTGTGGCTAGAGAGATAAAAAAATTAATAGATCACAAATGGAGAGAATATGTTCAAGAAAAAGATTCAGAATGTGAGATTCGCCATTGTGGGTAGAAAACCGTGACCAAAATCTATATCCAGCCTATAGGGCCGCACTCATACCTACATCCAGAACTACATCGGCACTTACGGACATCTGCAAGCTCACCGTTGAAAGAGAGAGCAGAACAACAAACAAAGATAAAGAAAGTCGTTTTGAATTGAAATATCATCGAGACAGACTACAATCACATATTGATTGAATCTCGAAACGCGGATATGTTGACTACGGTAGTCGTGAACGTGGATGTGATGATGAATCAAACATGAAATCATCCGAAGCAATAGAATCAGTAACAAGACAAAAATATCAGCGACACTTCTCATGGCCGAAACCCGAATCTGAGATTACTTGTATGATAGTAGCATGTCCAAAAATGAACAAAATCTGGTCGAACACTTTCTTGAAAATGCACTTCTTAGATGTCAGTGTGCTAGATATTCATGGGAAGCAAGGAGAAAAACTGACATTGTACCTAATAGACATGAGATTGTTCAATCGACTGTTAACAGAATAGGCAGACATTTTTCAAAAATAATGGGCATCAGCAAGCAGCAAGATACATGGGTCGGTCATTCCAACGAATATTGAACATAGACAAAAAATGCCTTTATAAAAATGAAAGATCTTAATATTTTCTAGGACAAAATTCGTTCATCGTTGATAAACCCTACCGACACTGTCAAAAGAATAGCTCATATATTGAATAATGAAAAGTCAAGCCCACTCAAACTATCAAAATATCGTTCAAAGAGGTACGACATTATGATATACTCATTCATGTCGGCTTCCATATCCGATTTCTTCATTTCTCAGCTGAATGAGCAACACATAACACGAAACCTTTGCAATGTTTAATTTTCACACTAAAATAGTGCCTTCCATTTAGAGTTCGTCAGCTTGATTCCGCATAGAATCGGATCCTAGTCTAGAAAATTTTTGCTAACTGATCTCGGGTCTGAAAAGTTTAGACCTGATGGGCCCTAATGATCTGAGAAATGTGTAGTTTGCGCTTGTCACTGAATACATAAAATGAAAAAAAAAGTATCTCTACGCACAATAGAAGACCCTCTTTGGAGAAAAAATACGACAGAGGTAATAGCAGGCATCTGAATTAATGAGTTCTTTGAAAAATTGTAAATTTAACCAGTATTATTTAGGTCAAAATATGTCTAGTTTTCAGGAATTTGGGCTGAAAATTTAAAAAAAGACTACTTCAATATTATTTTCGGGGCTTTTAAAACCTTGAAAATCTTTTCTCATACCCTTAAAAATGTTTCGGTTTCTGAAAAACTTTTCAACCTAAGGGTATGAAAATAAATGAAACACAGTTGAAAATCCCTTGAAAACTTCGAATGCTTGGACATAATAGAAGATCTAGGGTCTTCGATTACGGGAAGCGGTTTAGAAAGTTTCATTAAAAATATCAAAGTTCGATTCGACGTGTTCTGAAATGTTTGAACCCAACGAGCTCTAGTCGCATCTGTCGTAATTTGCAACACAATCTACAACATGTTAAAATCTAGCATTAGGTGTTCATTGCGACATGTTGCTCTGCGACACATTTTAAAAATGTGGTTCGAATGAAATACTTTGGTAAATTTTAAATGTTTTTCTGTACCCATGAGGATGTGGGATGTAGACAGCACGACAATCACATCCATAACCACACTACCGGAATCAAGCCGAATAAAACGAACGAGTCTTCAAGACCGTTCTCAGGGCCTGGAAATGGTAAACAATTTCAATCGACATGAATTGAACTAATTAACATCTCAACTTATGTGAACCAGAACTAGTTACTTATTTCAACGACTCAGCTCTCACTAAATGAAACACAATTAGCTAGAACAAAAGACAATGGAATAAAACCCGTGGTAGATCATCTCAGTAATACAAGTACGATCTTTTTCATTGTGTTCAAAGAAGAAAGCTTTTACTCACTAGTCGATGTGGTTGAAGTTGACGAACTAGTTGTACTGGTTGTCGTGGTTTTTGTCGTTGTTGTTGTTGTCGTTGTCGTTGTTGTCGTTGTCGTTGTCGTTGTTGTGGTTGTCGTGGTTGTTGTCGTTGTTGTGGTTGTTGTTGTCGTCGTCGTTGTTGTTGTTGTTGTTGTCGTTGTCGTTGTTGTCGTTGTCGTTGTCGTGCTTGTTGTGGTTGTCGTGGTTGTTGTCGTTGTTGTGGTTGTTGTTGTCGTTGTCGTTGTCGTTGTTGTTGTTGTAGTTGTTGTTGACGTTGTCGTTGTTGTCGTTGTTGTTGTTGTTGTTATTGTTGTTGTTGTCGTTGTTGTCGTTGTCGTTGTCGTGCTTGTTGTGGTTGTCGTGGTTGTTGTCGTTGTTGTGGTTGTCGTTGTCGTTGTCGTTGTCGTTGTTGTTGTTGTAGTTGTTGTTGACGTTGTCGTTGTTGTAGTTGTTGTAGTTGTTGTCGTTATCGTGGTTGTTGTTGTTGTCGTTGTAGTCGTTATGGTTGCTGTCGTTGCTGTCGTCGTTGTTACCGCTAAAATATCGGTCGTTATGCGCAATTATTAAGTTATTTTTGAAACCTTTCCTCACTCTACGACAATCCTGAAAAACTGCAGATGGTTTTAATTTTCATGTAATTTGCTAAAGCATTAACTATTCTACTGAAATGTATATCCGTCAATAGCTTTATTTCCTATTCTGCTGAATAATTGAATTCATTTTGAAAAAAACTACCAACGGCAAAATACTTGCAAATCGTAAATTTGATGGATACTTCGATAGATGATCAACCGACAAGCACAATGTTCTCAGAAAAGTTTTTCGTTTGTAGAATGTTGTATTCATTGTCAAGCTGATCGTTTTTGTAAAAAGTATTCAAATTTACTAAATAAGTCGCGGCGCTAGAATCAAAATACTCAAAAACTTCCTCTATACGTGATTAGTATTGTTGAGTGGTTGTTGACGTTTTCGAGTATTTTGATCGTAGCACATGACTTTATTAAATGAATTTAAATATTTTTGTACCAAAATGATCAGCACAACGAGCTTTACAAAGTTTTACGGACAAAAAATCTTCTGAGAATCTTTTTTTATGCGGTTGACTACCTGTAGAAATATCCATCGAAAATACGATTTGCCAGCACTTTTTGGTTAATAGACACGTAAAATAATTTAATTTACCAAAACGTTCATCAATTGATATCGAAGTGATCATTTTATGAGTAATGTCATAAATCACGAAAACTTGAGAAATATCCTTACGTCAGATGAGAGTCATGATCATCTCGTACGGCAACCCAACATCTTCTATTAGAGATGTCTATCAAGGCTAAAAATCTGCCGCTGTAGCGTCACCATGGACATCTCTGTCTTCTGTGAAAAGTGCATAATATATTTCCGCGATGCGAATTCGCTACGTGGGACTGGATGCGTTTCCTAATTTTGACATATATGATAGTACTGTTGCATTGAAAGAAATTTGAGACAATCAGTGATTATTCTGTCAAAGCAAAAAATAAGTCTGATAAAACATACAGTTCAACGGGCAAATTAATCAATTTTTCAGCTTTTGAATTCTCTGAAGATGGTGGGACATACACTGCCACACCTATTTTTCAGTAGAGAGAATATGGTTTATTTAAATTAAACTATTAGACCTATAAGACCATCTAGATCATAGATAATTCCATTTATTATCCCATACTTCTCTTTTCTTTTTTTTTTCTCTCATATACAATAAATTCTTTCTTTGTGAGCACCTCTCCATCATGGAGATCTTTCAGTACTGAGCGATGCACTTATCTCTAATTTCATGAGCCATGACAATCTATGTAATATGAACAACAAATATTCTATTAATCATACAGAGAATGAGAAAAAAATGATTTTATGTGTATTGCGTTATGACAAAGAATTGTGTGACGCACGTAAAAAGAAAATGAACTAATCGTACATATTTAAAAGGAAAAAAAAAATAATAGTAGACATCAGCAGCCGTGCTTACTGTAACCTCTCATCGTGTTTATGTTAACAGCTAGTAACATCAAATACTTTCAATACATATTAATTTCCTTCTAATTAAAAAAAGTTCAATCGATAGATTGTTGCAAAAAAGAAAAAAGTCACTCTATGCAATCGAAAAGTGATTGTAATTGAATACTTATAATTGGACATAAGAAGCTGAAAATCTTTCAATAATGAGCACTTCAATAAAGTGAATATTTTTGGCTAGTCACAATGATAAGCATATAAGAATAAATTTGCTGTAAGTTCTTTTCAAATATTCTGTGTTCTTTTTGCTACTCTACAATGATATTATGATTTCTCTTTTTCCTTCTGACCTATTTTCGTTTAGGAATACACTCACGCTTTATCACGCTTATATATACATGCTCTGATTCTCGTGGACAAATTTATGTTGTTTTTCATTTTAAAAAAAAATTTTATCGTTTTTCAGTCGTACGTACTAAAACCATACATACATTCTGATTCAACAAAACTATTTGATACGTTTTCATTCAGAGACAAATAATACTACTTGTACTTTTCATTTCTTTAGATTCTATTTGTTTAGTTATATTTATAAATAGAATCATATTGAAATAATAAAGTCGATGATTAATTCTGTAATTCATATATTAGTGAAGACAGTAACAAGAGTAACTTGGATTTAGATTATAACAAATTAAAAGATAGTTTAGATTTAATTATAGTTTTGTAATATTTAAAAGATGAGAAAAATTGATTTTTCTTAATTATCATAAGATTTTTATTTTGTCATTTTCCATTAAATAAAATGCAAGGATTCAAGAATCACTAATCGATTAAAAAAATCGTACTTAAAGAATTGAAAATCATGTCTGTTTATGAATTAGAACATAGTCATAAGAGACAAACTATACAAAGCTTTTAGAAGAAAAACTATTTTTTCTAGTATTCGTCAAAATTAATAAACTTTCTTCACTAGGAATACAAGATAATCGAAATGAAAAATATACTCTTTGGTAGAACATCTCATAGCCATATCAAACCATATAAAAGTAAGAACACATGCCAGAATCTTTCAGCCATATAGTAACATGAACAAAACCGTTACATATAACATAATCAAGCTCAATAAGAATCAGGTTTCAAAAAATCACAATAATTGTTCATTTCGATCGTACAAACAAGAAAACATCTCTGTGCCCAGAATACAATGAAATCTATACTCATCAAACCGTTGCTATTTCAAATATACGAAAAATAATTAAAACGCCTCCTTTCTTTCAAGCAATAAAACATCATTTCGAAATAAGTACGCATAAATTTCTGGCTTCTTTCGGATAAAATCAGGATCAATCTATTCATATGATTTTTCCCTTATTATCATAAATTTCACTTACTGGTAGCCGTCGTCGATGTTGTGGTTGAATGAGCTATATTCGATAATTGTGTTTATAAAATCAGGAAGATACGATAGAGAGTAAGACGACTTACGTGATAAGACTACGACTAGAGTGCTAACCACGGCAGCCAAGAGACCACCAATAATAAGTACCGAACAAAACAAACACCAGGCTTGTCGGTATGCAAATTTACTGGAGTGAATAGCAACAAAAAAAAATATATAAAAGTATCGTGAATTCATCGATAATATTGATAGCTAGTAATCGTCAGGCTCTTATATCGCCTGGTATATAACATACGATCTTATGACACCTCATTCTATAATAAACATTATGAAAAAAACTGGACCATGAAATGAGTATGATTTAATGGTATTCCTCAATAATCCTAATCTATATTCTAGTTTGGAGCTATGATTCAGTAGTTTTACACCTACCGTTGATGCTTCTTTTTCGGTTGCGCTTCCTTGCCAATATTTTGCCATGAACATTCGATTTCTGGTGACACCTTACTGTTTCTATTGAACATTCCATTGCTTCTTGACTGAAAAGCATCATTAAAAATGGGATGTGATGAATTTTCCTCAAGAGACGAGCGCATTGGCAGTGAGTTATGAACACGAACGTTATTGATTGCATTGTTAGATTGACGTCGCCTGGAACGTATTCGTTGCACACGAGGCTGATATGGAGCCGTGGAGATGCGAGATAGTTCCATACTTTTACTTTGTTGATTGAATTCAATCACTATATAGATGAATTTATATATAAAACTTTTTTTTTCTCTTGATTCGAACTATTCTGCAAATAACGTATCAGATAGAAGTAAATTTAATTGAAAGCATTGCATAGTTTTCTTTGTCGTAAATAAGAACACCGAAAAAAAAAGAATAATAAATAGAGCGTTCTTGATCAATGCTTCTGTAATCATCAACTTTTTAGTTTGATCAACGAGAAACCTTCGACATATAATCATGCAGAATCATTGAAATGACAGCAATGATACATGCAACGCATGACAATTCGATTTCTCCTTTTTTTTCTACCCTAAGGCCCCCTCGAAAAAAAATTATAATTAAAATCAATGCATGAGAAGAAAGCGAAGGGTCTCATCTGTGACAAACAACATCATTTTCTTCTTGAAAAAGATTGTTTTTTCTTTTTAGATAAGGTAGAATATATTTTTCTCTTTTTCTCTGTTTACTCTTTTTTTGATTACGCAGCAAACAACTCTTTGTGAGTTTTCATTAAATATTATTTTTTGTTTTTTTATCTGAAAGAGTACGGAAAGAATGAGTAGATGATAGGGTTGCTTTTATTGAACTAAAAGTGTTACTATTATGTAGAAGAGTATTTTTATGATTAGAGGATCATCTTGTGGGAGTTTTTTTTTGACACATTGAACTTTTCATTCTTTTCTTCTCGCTGCAAAGTACGAATTAAGAAAAAGCGTTTTGTGATTCTCTTAATATTGGATATGTCTTTTGAAACAAAAAAAGTGGAGTATAAAGAATGAAGCGCGACAGAGAATTACTAGTTACTCAATGAGCTATTTTTCACTCAGGTTTTCTGTATATATCCCGATCACTTCGTGGTATAGAGATAAAAATTCCACTGTGATCTCTCTACCATATTCTCAATATTTCTAGGATAGTTTCATTGAGATTGGTAGGTGACAACGTACTGATACGTATAGAAGTTTGCTGGTAAAATGGCATCACATTTGTATTAGACAGTAGATTTTCGATATGGATTACTGATTTTTTAACTCGATCATGAGAAAAAAAAAGTACATGAAACTAATGATAGAAGGCCTTCTGTTATGGGCAGATATTATTTTCAAACAGCCTCCCTAACTGAAGACTAAATTGGAACTCGCGAATTACCACAAGTCTTTTTCAAATGAAACCAGCCACCTATGTTTGATACCAGCAGAAAATCATCACCCGCTCTAATGTAAATCGCTCAGTGCAAAAGTTATACTAATAGAAAGCTGGTTTGATGAAAAGTATTGGACACGAACTACGGACTCATCTGCAACACTCGAAAAGTTGCGATTACACTTTTGATTCACATGTCAAATATCTTCAAACACATGAATTATTATTGGTTAACTCAAATTGACATTTTATTGTTAAGTCTACAATATTTTAAAAGAGCTTTAGCGCTAAGAAAATAAGATTTCAAACTGTAAGTGTTAAAATGTTCTCTAATTAATCAATTTCTGAGCAAACTATGAGGATAACCCCTGGCGACAAGTTCTTCCGAATACGATTCGTGCCAAACTTGAGACAAAACTTGCAAATGTTCAGGATATGTTGCGCCTTATGCAGCTGGATTAAAGGCAAGGTAGACAAATATTGTGCGTTAGCAGGGGTTTGTTCTGATATGTTTGACACGAGAAAAACACCACAAGACCAGTGACTACTATCGAAAAGATGCCTGCTACAATATTTACCATAATCATCGTAATTTCGACAAGAACATCATTGGTAATCGCTGCCCAGGCACGCTTTTTGAACAATTCAAAATAGCTTCGACTAGGGTGTGGGTGGGTGTGGGTGTGGGTGTGGGTGTGGGTGGGTGTGGGGGCGTGGATGTGGGTGTGGGTATCCTGTATTCTAGCTACATCAACACCCACACCCACCCACGCCCCACACCCACGCCCCACACCCACGCCCACACCCACACCCACACCCACGCCCACACCCACACACTCACACCCACATCCAGACCCACCCACACCTACCCACACCCTAGGTTGAAAATAAAATTGCAAATATAAGATCAGCGATTTTACTCAAAATGAAGAGCTTCTCATGCTATA